CGTTGGGATATTAGTATAGAGTTAAGGACATTCTTTAAACACTCAACAAAAGATTTTACAGAACGTGGAAGTTTCTTTGGATGTATGTGACAAGTGCCTAGATGTTGTTGAAGCAACATGTTGTGATTGTAGCCAGCAAATTCTAGTAACTGTCATACCAGAGATTCCCGCGAAAATTTGACAAACACAGCGAAGTGATCCCCTTAGCTGAATAATTACCTGCGCTGTTTCAGATTTCAATGTCAACCTCTTAGAACTTCTCCTCTCCCATAACGGAGTCTGAATTACATCGTCGAAGTCGTACTTTACACGAAGCATCCATAGGATCTACTATGAATTGTTTAGGTGAAATAATTTTACGTAAAGCCCAAATATCAATGTTAACTAATTTATGACCGACCCTGTATATATTATCTGCTACGACTATTCCTAACATATATTCATTTGTCTGCCTTCCAGAGGTACCTGTTAATGCATTTAGTTTTAGGAGTCATATATACCAGAAGCACTCCAAAACTACACAAGCGCATGTGCATGGGAACACAATGAATCATTCTTTTGTTATGCTGCAGGCGTAGCAGGGTATTTCAAAAATGAGTAGATCAAGTGTGTAACACTATCACAGTGGAATTGTATTGACAGGTAGCTGAGCACTACTGATTTATTTTTGAGCTACACAGCTTGATGATTATGCTTCTGAAGCAGTGTACTGCCGAACTTAGGTAAAAGACCGGAGTCTCGGTACCTCGGTGGTCAGCGCGATGTGCTAGCAACCCGGGGTTCGCGAGTTCGAATCTCCGCTTCTTCTTTTTTTTTTTGCGTTAGGACTAGGAGTCCATGCAGCCAGTCACTAGGTTTCTTACAAATATGTATTAACACATGACGCCACCACATCCATGGCTTCGGAATGTAATTTCCGAAGGCGAGATTCGAACTCGCGGCCCGGCGAATCTCCGCTTCGTTGTGCAAATTAACGGTGTAAAAATCTAAATATGAGAAAATTGAATAAAAACTTCTGGATTTTTTTGAAAGAAATAAATAGTATCGTTACGTCAGAATAAAGTGAATGAATATTGCAAAGTTAGATGAGAGTCATTTAAATGTAATTTCAGATCATAATTGTTGAAGATCAAAAAGCAGTAACGTGAGATTTACTGCTTTTCAACTCTACAAAAACAAATTTACTGCCTTTTTTCGTAGTTTACATAATTTTATTATACAGGGTGTAAACGTTATGGTAGTTATTATTGGAATGGGTAATAGGGGCCGGGGGTCAAAACAAGTCAAAAAGTGCATATGACCCATGGTCCAAAAGTCAATAGATTTTTGTCTAAATCTATAGTTTACAACTTTAAATGCTTTATGTCGACCACAATCACCACAATTTCAATAATTTTTGAAATCTAATCTAAAACGTTTTTAAATTGGGTAATTAACAAATAAATGGCATTAAGTTTCTCTAAGTTAAGCCTAAATTTGTAGTAAGTTTCATTAAGTTGACAGCGCGTCGGTCATCATCACTCTTATCGAACCGACAATCGATCGCAAACGGTAACAGTGGGTAGTATGTAGTTTTGTTTTTGTACGCGTATGTCGTCGTGTTGATTTACAATGTTCTCGAATCAAGAGTTCGCCGACATGTAAGTTTACGGTGAAGCTTGTCAGAATTAAAATCTTGCAGCTCAAATTGATCGCGACAGATTTCGCCAACAGGTACCCCCAGACAGAAGGACACTTGTGCAAGTGTACCAAAGACTTCGAGATACAGGAAGTGTTCAGCACACTAATATTTCCCACGCGTGAAAGACAGGTTACTGTAGAGCAGGAGGAACAAATTTTAAATATCGTGGAAATCAATGCAGATTTCAGCACTCGGGAATTAGGCCGCCTCGTAGGACTATCGCATAAATACAATTAATTGTTAATTGGGAAATTGGCAAACTTTTTAGGCTTCAGTTAACTGTTTTGACGGTAATCTCTAGCTTTCGGCAATTCTCTATGGAGCCTTCATCAGGAGTCGCCGTTCAGGTTGCAGCCAAATGGTGTTTCAAAACGAACGCGGGGATGAGATTACTTGTTGCAATTTTTAATCCAATCGGACGGACACATTGGGCTAATTGATAACGACGGAACTATCGTCGCTTGGAATACGCCCAAACAGCCGCTCGCAAGGCTGATGCTGAACCTGATTGTTGGAACAGACCTTAGACAACATGCCATTACAAATGAGACATAATTTGTGGTTTCTTCATGACGGTGCACCACCACACATTTTTAGAGGTGTCATTCAGTATTTGAATGAACATTACCCAAAACGCTGGATCGGTCGAAATGCTCCTGATCCTCGAAAATGGCCAGCAAAATCTCCTGACCTCAATCCGATGGATTTCTGGTATTGGGGAGAACTTAAAGGGATGGTTTATGGAGCTGGTCCAATAACAACTGAAGCACAACTTCGCGAACAAAATTTTAATGCGGCTGAAATAATAAATGGACAACTTCGAGGACCTAGAGAAAGAAGAAACTGGGTTCGTCGTAATGAAACTTGTGTGGAAAGTGGAGGACGACATTTTGAACACCTTCTTCGAAAACAAAAACAGTGCAGTGTGGGTTTAAAAAAAACAATGTATGTATCAAAGCTGTGTTTTTTTAATACGTTCATAAACTTTCGCACACCAGTTGAAGCGCTGAGTCAGTTAGTCCGTTTTTTTTTAATTGTTTGCATTTTACGAGTACATTACCAAATAATGAAATAATACCTAATAGCCAAAAATAACAAATTCCATCTTTATTTACACTGCGTTTACTTTAAAGTCGCTTTTCTCTAAAAAAATGCCGTTTTGACCCCCATGTTATACGAAACTTTTCGCTTCTTTTAACACCCTGTATCACCCATTTAAATAATGACTAACATAACGTTTACACCCTGTATTATTTTGTCAGCGGGAAAACGCAGAAATGCAGAATTTTATATTCGTATAATTTCCACATCTAATAATTCAATTTAAGAATTGTATTATTAGATCTAACAATTACATTAAAAAAATAATTATATAAATAAACTAGAAACAGCATGTTTTCTTATATGTTAAGTTAAACGAATATTTTTCAAAATTACTCTTTTGGAGCAAAATTACATATTTATAACAATAAATACTTATTTACAGATAATATAATTATTACATAAAAAACTAAATAAGTAAACATCGTAATAGGTTATAAAATGGTAAAAAAGAAATACTTGTATCAAATAGAGAATAAAAGCAGTATAGTTTGAAGACTACTCCTTTTTTGCTTTGATAAAGTGATTTACTGCTTTTCTACTTAGTAAATGTAGTTAATATGAAATATTTGACAAAGTGAAATAATAAATATTTTTTTAAATATCCTGATGATATATACTAAAGTTGGTGAATGTATTTATCTTACTGTAAATAACAAGTGAAAAAATTTTCAGCCTTATCAGTTGGACATTCCGGTTTTTATACTGCTTTTTTTTAATTCACTAACGCTCTAAAAATGAATATTTCAGCCGCAGTAAAGAATCAACGTTGGCGGATTTTGGTTCTTGACATCCTTTACGATCGGTTACGATGCCTAGAGTACGGAGACCTGTACGATTTCGTCAACTTAGTGAGTTTGATAGGGGCCGTATAGTGGGACTTCGGGAAGCTGGACTTTCTTTTCGGGCAATTGCAGTTAGAGTGCAAAGAAGTGTAGACACTGTGGTTAGGTGTTGTCAGGCATGGCTTCGAGAAGGCCGTACGCAAAGATCAATTGGCACTGGACGCCGCCGTAGAACAACAGACCGTGAAGATCGCCGCCTAAGATTATTGACCTTAAGGGACCGTTTCTCCACTACCAGGTCCATTGCAAAGGAATGGTTTGCAGAACACGGAAGACCTATTGGCATGCGAAGTGTTTACCGACGAATGAGAAGTTTTGGCTTGTTTTCATACCGGCCACACTGGGTCCTCCCTTTAACTCGAGAACACCGACGTAATCGCCTTGAGTGGTGCAGACAACGGTCACTCTGGGATCAGGAATGGAACAGTATTGTCTTTAGTGACGAGTCTCGATTTTGTTTAGGCATGCACGATGGTCGTGCCAGGGTTAGAAGGCGTCGTGGTGAAAGGACGAATCCACAGCTTTTTGTTGAAAGACATGTTCATCACACTGTTGGAGTTATGGTTTGGGGTGCTATAGCTTATCCACGAAGTTCTAGAACCCCACCTTTTACCCTATCTTGACACCCTGGCAGATCCAACTTTCCAACAAGATAATGCCCGATCACATGTTGCAAGAGTCACAATAGACTTCTTTCAACATAATGATGTCACATTGTTACCATGGCCACCAAGATCTCCCAACTTATCCCCAATTGAGCACATGTGGGATATGATGGGTAGGAGATTGCTCAATTTGCAACGTCCTCCTCGGACTCTAGAAGCACTTCGAGAGGAGTTGGTGGTTGCCTGGAATGAGATACCACAGGAGGACATTTACCACCTGATCAGAAGCATGCCTAGGCGCGTTGGAGAATGCGTAGCACATCAGGGTGCATCCACACATTATTAAAGGTCAAAGTGCTTTAAAGCAGTGCAATCATTTTGAAATTTTTATCATTTACTTATTATGCTTCATTAAGTACTTATACAAAATTTTATTAAAATAAAACCATTTAAACAGGGTGTTCGGATTTATATGTCACTTAGTATATTTTGTAATTGTAAACATAAAAGAAATGTGTTGGGTAGGTAATCACTGTACTGCCTTTTCTCTAAGTACGGCAGTGTAGGTGTTTGTTTTTGCTGTTAATGCCTACTATCGAATCTTCGATTACTAGTGCTGAAAGTGTAGGAACAACTTGTTTCAGTTCACGTTCCGATGTGACTGAATTTGATCTTTCATGTGCTTGGTAATTGTATATAAAAACGAAGCAGTACGGAAATACCATTCATTTTGAACTACATACATGCCTGATATGGTGATGTACCTACCTTATTGGTGGTATGACTGTCCCAGACGATAAGCTTGCCATCTTGCGAAGCGGATACGAGGTTTCTACTGTCGCTGCCCCAGTGCATGGCGTATATCTTGGCTAAGTGGCCCCTGAGGGTGCGCCTGGTGCGCATCTGAACCCTCCCAATGGGTTCCATGCTGGCGGTCGCTTGCACCAGCGACGTATCGCACGCCGCCTTGCGGGCATCCTGGAGAATCAAACAAAATTAGTGTTAAGATTAGATTTGCATTCGTTTGTTCCTACAAATGTACGACGCCTTTATGGCCTACTTGATTTTTATAGTTTCCCTGTCCTTCAGAAAGGCAGCAGATTTCTTGATTTCTACTGTTTCGTGACAGCGCTTTACTTTGAGGTTTGATTTTCTTTTTGAATTCTAAGAAATGTCAGGCTGATAAAACTTGGTTTTTATCATCGATTTTATCAGCCTTCAATTTCTTAAGATTAAAAAAGGAAACATAACCTCACAATACGAGAACGCTGACAGGGAACAGTATAAATCTAGAAATACCCTAGCCTTTCTGAAAGAGAGAAAAGACTATGAAAATCAAGGAGGACATAAAGGCGCCTTACAATTGTAGAAACGACTGACGATGCGGCCCTTAGGGTGGTCATCAGTGCGAATGGCGTCCCGGGAAGTTGTCTCAAATTGATATACATATAGTATCCGATTACTGATCCCAGAAGTCGACGTCAAGCCGAAACCGGGTGATAGGCAAAGTCATAACAGCTATCAGAAAAATATTCACACTATCAAAGATAGTCTAAGGAAAGCAAATGTTGTTTTGAAGAGCAATTAAACAGTCCAAATCCAAATCACAAGCGATCACAGTCCAGTTCACGAATCCAAAATTAGTAACAGTACGAAATCAACAAGCACGAACATGTAAAAATGCGCCGTAAACGAAGAAGTACTGATCGGTATCAAAGTGTGCAATAGCAAGTAAGTGATGTGCTTCATCCATACCACATACAGCGTGTTCAACCTCTCCTGCCCCGGGATTATGAGTCCCGAGTTGCTTTTTGTCGCACAATGTTAGAAAGACACAGGAAAGATCCACAGTTCTTTGAAAAAATTTTATGGTCGGATGAGACCACATTTAAGAAAGATGGGTACATGAACCTGCATAACTTACACGAGTGGCACGTAGCAAACCCACTGATGAGAGAAGATAAATCTCAATATCGCTTCAAGATAAACCATTGGACAGGAATTTTAAATGGTAAAATAATCGGTCCGTTTGAGTTCCCAGAGACTTTGACTGCTGAAGTTTATTTGGATTTTTTGAAAAATCATGTACAAAATTTATTGGTGGACGTGCCACTGAGTATTTACAGGGACATGTGGTTTCAGCATGATGGCTGTCCAGCGCACTATGCACTCTCAGTGAGTATCTCGATCAAAACTTTCCAGGCAGATGGATAAGGCGGTCTGGTACAATACCGTGGCCAGCCCGATCACCTGATTTGAATCCTTTAGATTTTTTTACTGGGGAACTGTAAAAGAAAAAGTGTATTTCAAGCCGATTCAAAATGTAGCTGAGCTACGGCAAAGATTATTGGAAGCAGCTGAGTTTGTTAATAACCGTGGATTCGCTCGTTTAATAACCCGATCTTTTTTAAGAAGATGTCGAGCGTGTATTGCGGCTGAAGGAAAACAGTTTGAGCATTTGCATTTTTCATAGTCGCTGTTTAATTAGGAAATTTTGAAAAATTTTCATCAGTTTTTTTTCAAATAAAAATTGTGCATAAGTTAACGAGTAATCTTCTAAGTGTTATACCATTTTGGAATCGTGATTAAATGCGCCAACTTTTAAGGTTACTCGCCAAACTCTCGTAGTACATTTTTTCCAGTACAGCCAGTTAAAGTTGAGCAAAGTTTTACTTTGGAATACTTGGTTGGGAAATAAGTGGCAATTTTTCCTGAACGAGAAAAGTTGGCAGTAAGGTTGAGACACCAGTTTGAAGATGCATTATTCATCATTACATTGTATAAAATCCAAAAAAAGTTAATATTTGTAGTAACAGGAGTTGACAGACTAGGGTGTGAAATTTCTATATCTTTTTCAAAGACCTATAATTTTCAAAACACATACATAAAATTTTTTTAAATATTTTTCTGATAGCTGTTATGACTTTGCCTATCACCCGGTTTCGGCTTGACGTCGACTTCTGGGACTCAATCGTAAGAAAAAAATATTTTACCATACTTTTGCGATCAGTCCCGACAGTCTGGTAAACAGCTCCTCGAGCACTGGCGATGCTTTTGAACTAACACGAGATCAAAATTCTTGATCCGGATCGTAATGGACGAATGAGAAGGCATCTTTCTAGTAAAGGATCTAATGATATAGTCGATTTTTCTAAAATATCTCTCAAACTAGTGAAAAAATATTCGATTTGTGTAAGATTAAGGAGAATTAAATCAAGAAATTCTTCATAAATCACCTGGTTTAGCTACAAAAACATATTTTTACATATGAAAAAAAAAAAACGGCGTCGAAAACTGGCCAATCGGAATGGAGCCTTTAAGCCCTGCCCGAATCGTGGATCAAACCTGACAGAATACCTGTATATTTATGGCATCATAGTTGAAACGAAGACTGCCTTTCATAAGCTGAGCTGAGTCACAGAACTGTCCAGTGCTACAACATCAAACTTTTCAACGAAAAGTCACGAGATTGAAATCGCGGTAGATCCACAAAATAAACATTAGATTTTTCATGTTTACTGATACTAGCTTGGCAGCACTACAAATATATCAACTATCAAGTGTTAATTAGGGTGATTCAACGCCATGAGGAATATGTTAATCAATCACAGTATTCACGCCGGAACTTGCTAACTTAATTTGTTACACGAATGTAGGAAGGAAAAATGACGCCCTTGGGTGCGACTTGGCGGAAAATACTTGGCGCCTTATTTAGAAAATTTGGTTACAAATAGAGTTATATCAAGTGCCGCTACGATCAGTGCGAGCTTATTTTGAATGTGATACCGAGTTGTTTTTGAGTTTGTGGTGCATATTCATAAAGTAAGCAAATAGTAAGTTAAATACAGTCTCATCAGGATTTTAGGTAGTAGTTTTTAATACAGTAGATACAGGGTGGCGTATCGAAACAGACGCATTTACTGGCAGCTCAGTTTTTTTTTGGAAAAAACGCTCAGACCCGTCGATTTTGTTTTCGAGGGGGACACAGGTTTGGCAAAAAATTACGTTAACACAGCAGCCCCCTGGGCGGGGGTGACACCAACTCTGAAATCTTAAATGGAAAGTGGGGTCGAGTGATACCTTATTTTAAAGGTCTTTCAATTCCCTTTATAATCATGTAAAATGCATGAGCAGTAGTTTTGAAGATTTATTGATTTAAAGCTTAAAGTAGACTTTAATAGGTACATCAGATTAGTTTGTACTACTTTCAGCAGAAATTTGACTAAAAGAATTTACTTAATAAGTAAATGCTTTTCTTCACTACGGCCGTGGTTTGTTTATCATTTTGTTGTTGAAAATAGCTATAGGAGCGTTTTTTTGTGGCAAAAAGTTATTTCTTGAAGAAAGATAAGGAAATATCTCGTTCTTATTTTAAATAGGAATTTAGTATATAGTTTGCGATTGATTTGACCAAACTTTGTCGCTAAAATTGACTTGCAACGCTTCATTACATAAATTAACCATGGTATATTCCACATCAGAAAGAGTTGAAATTATCGAAAAAAAATTCGGAAATAATCAGTGCGCTAATAGAACAGCAAAAATGTTTAATGAGCGACATGAGTACAGCTAAATTTCGGGAAACTGGGTCAGTCGCCAATAAAATACGCAACATTGAAAATCCCATAAGGAACTAAGCAATAGAAGTGGGGGTTTTAGGGCAAGTTTATGTAGATCCTACCTTAAGTACCCGCAAATTGGAGACTGTGTGTGGTGTTAGTCGACGTACTGTCCAACGGATTCTAAAGCCCCATAGTTTTCATCCGTATAAAATTCACCTATTACAAGAACTTAATGAAGACGATTTTGATCGGCGATTACACTTTTGTGAAGATATGAGTGAACGAATTATAAACGATGAACATTTTCTATTCGACACTTGCTTTTCCGACGAATGTTCCTTTTTCTTAAATGGCGTAGTAAATCGTTATAACTGGCGATATTGGTCCGATTCTAATCCCAGAATTTATCATGAGGTTCATATACAGCAGCCACAAAAATTAAATGTTTGGGCTGGTATTTGGTAGTTGGTCCTTTTTTCTTACCTGGAAATTTGACCGGTGAAATGTATTTGGAATTACTGGAAGACGCCATAGATCCTGCATTAACAGCCATAATTGAAAATCAGAATGATCGGCGGTACATTGCGAATAGGTTGATGTTCCAACAGAATGGTGCCCCACCACATTACGCATTACGTGTTCGACAATATTTAGATCAGACGTTTCCAGATCGATGGATTGGTAGAAGATGTGCCATTGAATGGCCTCCAAGATCGTCAGATTTATCACCTTTGGATTTCATTATGTGGGGTCATTTAAAAAGCAAAATCTATGCTACGCAGCCAACATCATTAGAAGACCTGCGACAAAGAATTGTGAATGAGTGCCTTCAAATTACTCCTCAACTATTGCAAAATGTGCGGCAAAGTTTTGAGCAAAATCTTTATTATTGCATGGAGAGTCATGGTGGCCATTTTCAACATTTACTTGCCTAACGGGTCAGTTCATTCTTCATTTTTAAATTACCTTGCTGCCAAATGTATTGATCTCCAGTAATGACGATGTATTCGTTTTATTTAAGCTTTAAATCAATAAATCCTCAAAATTACTGAACTGAAGTACATTAATTTTATATCATTATAACGGGAATTGAAATACCTTCAAAATAAGCTATCACTCGACCCCCCTTTCCATTTAAAATTTTTAGGGTTGGTGTCACCCCGCCCAGGGGGCTGCACGTGTTAACGTGATTTTTTGCCAAACTTGTGTCCCCCTCGAAAACAAAATCGATGGCTCTGAGCGTTTTTCAAAAAAAAACTGAGCTGCCAGTAAATGCGTCTGTTTCGTTTTCGATGCGCCACCCTGTATATAGTAAGTTTGATACAGTTTCATCCGAAAAGGTTCGGTGTCAGCTTATTATAAGTAATCTATAAGTAGACCTGCTATTTTTTGCGGCGTTTACATCTATATTTTACT